GGAGGAAGAGAGAGCCTAATGGGAGGAAGAGAGAGCGCAAATAATAAGTATAGGACTGCAACGGGAGGAACAAGGAGAACTGCGTCCGACAATGAATAGAGAAAGGACAATAGGTTAAAGAAAGAACGAGTGAGAGAGAAAGGAAATGACCCTTTTCCCTCTACCCCCCACCATAGACCCCAGTGACGCGCTTCCCCCTTCCCAACGTCTGTAAGGCATTTCCCCCTCCCTGACTGCCTCACACACGTAAGCAGGCACGCATGCACACGCATACACATACGTATAATACACGTGTAAGTACAAGCACTAACATATAGTGGCTTAGAACCCGCCTTGCCATCCTACTTACTGTTTACACCTTTTATAACTCGTTTATTGACCTGGTAGAAGCTCTTCATTTTATTGAATAAAAATATAAACATTTAGATTGGCATCTTGTTATTACGTTTTGATTTTGTATATATTCTAGTGACTGTAATTTTTGCCGGAAACAAAAAATTAAGAAATATTTTTAATTATTGCAGTTTTTATCCTACATAACTTAAAAGATTTACAAAATTTTAAAACATGTATATAAATTACGATAAAATTTTGTGCGATTTAAAAAAAAAATTATGATTTTCACTAGGTAGCAGACGTTTCTTTATGCAAAAAAAATTGTTAATGTTGATTTTTATTTAATTTTTCCAAGTTTATCAAAAATGGTTGATATTTTTTTTTCAAATCGTATACACAAAATAGAAAAAAATGCTAAAAAGGTTTCGAGAAAAAGGCGTTTAAAGTTTTCGATTTAGTTTTTGAGTGTACTTACAGTGCTCGGAGACTAACCTGTTATTTTAAGGACATACAATAACCATTCAGTTTCCTCATGGAATTCATTTTGAACAATTTGAGCCATTTTACAAGCTACTCGGGCCTCTCTCATGCAAAGGAACAAATTCTCACCAATTTTAATGAGTTTGAACATATTGTAGAACATGAAAAAATATTAGATCCACATTTTTTTGTTTGTACTTATTTCGAGGTTTAGAGAATGAAGCACCCCCTTTAAAAAAATCGTTTTTTTTCTTTCAAAGCAAATATCATAGCAACTATAAAAAATAGAAAGAAATTTTCACAATGAAAATTGAACAGCTTTAAGAATACTTTAGAACTATAATAATAAAAAAATTGTTCTAATTATTTATTATACATGACCGCTGTGCACCTGTATAGCGTTGAATTTATATCGAAGGATTTCCAACTTCGCTTTAAAATTTTAAGAATATATTTTCGAAGAGCTGTATTATCGATTTATAAAAAAAAAACTACTTTTTTGACCCTCTAATGTAGGAGACCTCCTTAAGTGATACGCAATTTTTCTCGAATTAAAAATTAGCCAATACAAATTCCAAGATTTATTAATAAGATAAATTGGGGGAAGATAGCACAAGAGGTAAGATGTAACTTTAATTATATTTTTGTCATAGAACAGATATTGGCCATTTTGACTACATAAAAGTATATAATAGAAGTACGTAAACAATAGCGCAATTATCAAAAGTTCATGCTAATTGACATTGAAAAATATTTAACAAAGTATGGAAAGATAGGTCATAAAATGTGTTCTTTATAATACATATTTCTAATAACTAAGGCTTGTGCTTCGATGCTTAATTGTAAAATCGAACAAATGATATATAGTTTTGATCAGTGTTTCTTGGTAATCATGTGGCTAATATAGATTATAATTTGCAATATTCTTATATATGCGTAAAAGTTGCAATTAAATATTTCTCTTGGGGATAAGATAACAGTAAATACAAAATACGATTGTTCTTGCTTAAAACCGTCATTAAAACGATTTTATGAATTAAAATTTTGGATGCTTTATATAATTTGAAATATTTTAAGTTAATGAAATGCTATTGAAGGGAATGCTGGAGTGACCATTGAACTTGATTGATGTCGATAATACAGATTTTTAAATTCCAAATAAAAAACGTCTATAATAGTGATATCTTTAATTCATTTCTTACATTATCATTTTCATCACTCAAACGCGTACATGTGTTCTTATCTAACATATTGCAACGCCATGTCTTGTAAGATGCACTATGCCTACTGCTAAATACAATTATTGATTTGTTTACCATTCCGAGTCTTTGCTCAACATTCGTATACACGCCATTTACAGATCGTCATTTATAAATCTTTCTTTTTAAGCTTTTTATCTTAGTTTCAAATTCAATATTGTTTGTACACGTAAAGCGCTGAATGCTGAACTATTGTTGTTTTATCCACAAGTTATAAAACTTTTATATTAAGAAAACATCTACATCAGGTGAGCTCTACGAGTTGAAAAAATGTAAGTTTTTAACTTTTTTTCTATTTTAGTATAAAGTCCACTGCAGCACCATCAAATTTTGCATCTCCTTTAATTCTGTAAAAGGATTTTTTACTCCGTTCAATAAATTCGGAGATTTATATCGATCTGCAAAATCTCGACAATGGTCACCCTAACATCTCTTTAAATGAATAAAAGTATGTCCAATTTACTTCCTAAATTAATCTCTTTTATATTTTCTCAATTTATGTTTTATTATACAATACCTTTATGTGTTTTTATAACTTAAATTCTTGATTATGGACTATACCAGGTGTAGAAGTATGAAACCGGAATTTCCCTATATATGGCACTAGCTATCAGTTTAGGGACCGCAAGACCGCATCTGCAGCGCCATCATCTCTCTCTAACAGCTGACGAAGATTTCCAACACACAACAACCCAAGTTCCATACACCGGTATATTTTTTTATAACCTTAAACATGTCGAGTTTTGTGCCTACGAACTACGATTTGCGGACAGCATTGGTTTTCTGTTATCATTTGAAGAAAACTGCTGCAGAATCGCATCGAATGCTTGTCGAAGCTTACGGTGAACATGCTCTTGGTAAAACACAGTGTTTCGAGTGGTTCAAAAAATTCAAAAGTGGTGCTTTTGACGTGAGAAACGAAGAGCGTGGGAAACCACCGAAAAAGTTCACAGACAACGAATTGCAAGCCTTATTGGATGAAGATGATACTCAAACTCAACAAGAACTCGCGGATCAATTGAATGTGACGCAGAAAGCCATCTCCATTCGTTTGAAAGCTATGGGAAAGATTCAGAAAGTGGGAAAATGGGTTCCGCATGAACTGAATGAAAGACAGCAAGAAAATCGAAAAACCTCTTGTGAAATGCTGCTCGACAGATACAAAAGAAAGTCATTTCTCCATCGAATCGTGACAGGTGATGAAAAATGGATATATTTTGAGAATCCTAAGCGTCGTAAATCATGGGTGAATCCTGGCGAACCATCGACATCCACTGCAAGACCAAATCGCTTTGGAAAGAAGACAATGCTCTGTGTTTGGTGGGATCAGAAGGGTGTAATCTATTATGAGCTGCTAAAACCTGGTGAAACCGTTAACACTAATCGCTACCAATAGCAAATGATCGATTTAAATAGAGCATTACGTGAAAAACGACCGGAATATGGAAAAAGGCAACACAAAGTCATTTTGCTTCATGATAATGCTCCATCACACACAGCAAAACGGGTCAAGGAAACGATCGAGGCGTTCAATTGGGAAATATTAGCGCATGCGGCTTATTCTCCAGACTTGACTCCGTCCGATTATCATCTATTCGCATCACTGGGACACGCTCTCGCTGAACAACACTTCAATTCGTACGAAAATGGCTCGATAACTGGTTCGCTTCAAAAGAAGAACTGTTTTTTTGGCGTGGCATTCATAAACTGCCGGAGAGGTGGGAAAAATGTATAAATAGTAATGGAGATTATTTTGAATAAAATATTTTTTATCATTTTCAAACAACAGACGTGTAATTTTTACAAAAAAAATCCGGTTTCATACTTCTACACCTGGTAAATAAGTAAAATATGCAAGTTTATATTGTATTACATTATTTAATTGCTTGTGACATCGTTTCATAAGAAGTCAACTAAGTTTCTCATGAAGAAAAACATGACTGTAAATACGGGACATAGTCTTTTAATTAGTTTTGCATGCATTTCATTTATTTATTAATATAAGTATCAGTCCTAATCGAGAGAGACCCATTTAACTAAGTTGCGATTTATCACCAGCCATAGCGGCCTAGAGTTTTTTCACTTTACAAGCGCTGTGAGAGACTGATAGTCATAACGTGGTCAAAAGGATCCCTCTTGTCCTGATAATATCTCCTAGTTCAACGCGCCGCTTAGTCATGAATCCTAGACTATGCAGTCCACTAGAGTAATAAGAAGAACATAATATATAGTCTCGCTGAAACTATAGGTCATACAAATGTTCCCATAGCACAAGGAGATGGTACGACTACAGGAAACATTAGGAAAGCAGAGTCAATAAATCACCGTTGCCGTCGGATTCTTCTTAGAACCCTGCCTAAATAAATCAAACATCTCTCTCTCTCTCTCTGCATGTCACATATAACCGTACTTGTCAGAGGGAATAATAATCTCCAATCTGTCATTGTCAGGACGATTGTTGCATTAATATTAATTGTAGAAATACTATTAACTTACAAAGCTTTTTAGGCTCTTATAAATATTATCTTCAAAGGTACTAGAACGTTTGCGAATTATCGCCGTGCTTTCATCCATCATTAATGCCAATGTTTCGTGAACCTTACTGTTTACTTCATTACGGCGAAGAGCGCACTGATACTATTAATAGTATTATTATTAACTTACTTTACCCAAATATATATGTGTATATATAAATAATACTGCAGGGTCTGAATTAATTTTTTAGAGAAATATATTTTTTATTTCATAAATTTCGAATTTTTCAAGTTAAGACCACTTCTACTCGCTTTATGTCGATTATGGTCTTTATAAAAAAAGATGAACTTTGTATTTTAAATTTGTGTTATTCTTTAATATTGAGTCTTCAATATCATTAAGTATTATACTACTTTTTTTATTAACGTGATTAAGATATATTTATATTACCAGACTGGACTCGTCAGGAGAAGCTAAGCTTAACAGCAATACGCTCACGTTTACAGTCAACGTTCCTGAAACAGTAAATAAGTATAATTTTATTTGCTACATTCTGGATTTTCCGATCGATCATATTGCAAAGCTATTAACATCCATTTTTTAAATTAATATAGAAAAAAATTATTTTTATAAGGCTGCAATGATAACAGATTTCTCATAAATAAAAGTCTCATAAATAAAAGAAAACATGACATTAAGCCAAACACCATACAGCAATACTTTACAATTGGTATCATGCTATAACGGTAAAAATTTTATTTAATAAATTATTTTATCAATTATATAAATGTTACTGCTTATATTTAATAGACTTCGTATTTTAATACAGGTACATATGAGACATTTAAAGCATTACAAGCTATAATCACTAAAAGTACGCGTCGAATAAAAAATATATTCAAACAAAAATTTTATAACGTCGAGAGGGACATAAAATGGTACCATTGAATTGATTTTGAGTAGCGTTATTAAAGTTAAGGCACAGTAATTTTGAAATTTAAAAAAATGTAAATTCCATTTTTTATTACATATTCTTGGAGTTTAATTTTTCAAAATACTACAATGAAACTTCTCAGTTGAGTATTTTACAAGATAAGAATTGTTAAAATTTATAGCGTTTTTCACTGGCATAACTAGTGCGCACTCAATGCACACTAATTCTGCCAGTGAAAAACGCTATAAATAAGCTTAAAGCTGTTGTACACTAACTTAATCTGAATGTAAAAGTGAGATATCTCCATTAATAAAATACTCAATATATATTTTATCAAATATCACAATAAAATGTGTTGAAGATTTCGGTTTAATTCGTTTCTATATTTTTATTAAATCATTGAAACATCACAGTAAGGATGGTTAGGATTGCGCAGATTGCAGAATAGTTTAATTTTAATTTTCGTATTTCATTGAGAATGATTTAAACCGAGTCAAAACGCGTATGAAATTAAATGTATGTCTAACAGAAGAGACAATAGAAATTTATGTCTAATATTATATTAGCGCACCAACTATCGCATTGACTAATACTTTCCTATATTTTTTGGTACTTTAATTTGTTAATTTTTATTAAACATACATCTTTACGTTGATTTGTGTACAACGGCTTTAAAGTATATTGAGTGCACACCAGGCTAAAACCTCTTAAATTTGTTTAATGTCATAATCTTGATAATATTTATCAAAGTCAAGGTCATTGGAAGTTATTCTATGTATTTGAATTTTCACGTAAAAAATAATCACCAGTGGCATTAATTTTAACAAATGTTATTAAGTTCATGATTCTTGAATAATATTCACGATATTTTAGTCAGACACTTTGGGTAATGATAGTGTCGGTAGTATTATAATTTTCAACTTTATAACTTAAAAAATATTAAATAAAAAACATTTTATTATTCATAGTGTTTTGAAAAGCTCTCGAGATATGCTATAAATATATGCAATAAAAAATAAAGGATTCTATTTAAAAATTCAAAGTGACCATTCTGTGTAAAACAAATATTTATTTAAAGTAATTTGTACTTCTCATGTGTATTAAATATTGTACTGAAAAAAATGTTAGCGTTGCAAGTTACAGATCGATCGGTACAAAACATTTGCATTGTATAGAAATCGTACAATTCAATTTCTGTACAATTATAAGTGTGTAAAATGCAGTCTTATACAAAAATATATTAGATGCCTCTAAGTGCATTTAGATCTGTTTATATGCGTGTGCGCGCGCGCGCGCGCGCGCGTGTGTGTGTGTGTGTACAGGGTGTAGTATTTTAATTGACGCATTAAAATATCTCTTGAACAGTGTATTTAAAAAAAAATGTTTTAGACAAAAATTGTATGATTTAGAGGGAGACATAAGATGATGCTATTAGTTTGACCTTGAAAAGTTATTTGAAGGTCACGTAAAGATCATCATTAATTTTTTAAATGGAATTCCAGATATTTCATTGCATATTCTTGTAACTTACTCGGAGAACTTTCCAAAACACTACATTTCATTTTTATTAAGTACTTTTCGAGTTATAAGGCTTGCAAGTTACCAGCATCGCCGGCATTAAGCATTACCTAAGGTGTCCAATCGACTGCTAAAACCTCTTAAATGTTGTTCAGGGTCATGATTTAGGTAACATTTGTCAAGATCAAGACCATTAGAGATTATTCCTCTTATTTTCATTTTTACACTAAAAATTACATTTCTACGTAAAAATGAAAATAAGGAATACAACCTCCAATAGCCTTAATCGTGACAAATGTTATCCAGATTATGATCTTGAACAACATTCAAGAGGTTTTAGCCATCGGTCGGGCACCTTAGGTAATGCTTAATGCCCGCGATGTTGTAACTTGCAACCCTTATAAATCAAAAAGTACTTAATAAAAATGAACTTGATTACATTTTGAAAAGATCTTCAGGTAAGCTACAAGAATATGCAATAAAATATATGAGATTCTATTTAAGAAATTGATGATGATCTTTACGTGATCTTCAAACAACTTTTCAAGGTCAAACCAATAGCATCATCTTATGTCTCCTTCCATATAATTTTTGTCTAAAACATTTTTCTTTAAAATGCACTGTCACTTCAAGAGATATTTTAATGCGTCAATTAAAATGATACACCCTATATACAGAATGTCCTATATGTCCCGGACCGGCTAAATATCGGAAAGTATGCACTTTTGAGAAAAATGTTTCAGACAAATGTTACAACATATAAAGTGATATATTTAGTGATGTTAACAGTTTGGGTGGCATCGTCAAGTCGAGGTCACATCAATTTTTTAAAATAGAACGTCCTATTTTTGATATCAGAATCTAATAGCTGGTGTCAGAACAGTTAAAACCTCTTGAATATTGTTCATGTTCTGGACAACATTTGTCAAGATCAAGGCTACTGGAGATTATTCCTCTCATTTTCATTTTTGCGTTAAAAATTCATTTGTTCGTTAAAATGAAAATAAAAAGTATAACATCTAATGGTTTTGGTTTTATCAAATGTTATTCAGGACATGATCTTGAACAGCATTCAACAAGTTTTAACTGTCGGTTGGATACATTGCGAAATGCTAATGCCGGCGACATTGTAACTCTTAAGCCTTATAACTCGAAAAGTGCTTAATAAAAAATGATTTTATTATAGTGTTTTAAAAAGCTCTTGACACCAGCTGTTAGATTCTGGTATCAAAAATTGGACATCCTGTTAAAAAAAAATCAACATAACCTTGATTTTATTTCGGGACGCCATCCAAGGTCAAACTGCTAACATTAATAAATACATCATTTTATATATTACAACATTTGTCTGAAACATTTTTCTCAAAGTGCATACTTTCCGAGATACTCAACGGTCCGAAACATATGGAATACACTTATACAGGGAGAAGCATTTAAAGCAGGTCACCGCAATTTATCTCTCGCTAGCTCACTTGTTTTTAACAAAAGAAGAAAAAGTGTCAAACAAAAGTTGTTTGGTTTCGAGGGGCACATAATGTGATGTCAATAATTGTTTTATAGATGGAGGCGTAAAGGATAGGCAAAGGTCAAATCTGTTTTTTTTTTTAATAGAATGATATGTTTTTTTACTTACCTTCTGATAGAGCATTTTAAGATGAATACAATGACTTATAATTGAAGGTCATTCAACGTTACGCAAAATCAATAATGGAAAATAATTGAATGTAATGGAAAAATTGTTTCAAAGCATTCTTCGAATAATTTCGTGTCTTCTTGTTGGTATACCGCTAATCGTTCAAATGTATATGTAAATATTTACATACCGTTTAAGTTGAATCGCTCGTAGCATTATTCATATTTACTGATCAGTTTAAATTCATCTATCGATCAAAGTGCGTGTTTTGCAAAATGCGTTATACAAAAATGGAAAAGTGAATATGATTTTCTATAATCAATGTCGCCAAATTATGAGAGAAGCAGTACGTTTGTATGCTGAAAGATTTCCCAATCGTGTCTATCCCTCATTCTGTTTTTTCAAACATTGTACAAACTTTTCAAGAAACAGGAAGTATGGATAATAAAAAATGCAAACGAATCTAGAAGGAAACTGATGACGGAAATTCAACAAACATTTTAGCCGCTGTAGCAGTAAATCCACATATCAGCTTGAACGTGAAAGTGGTATTAGTCGACGAAGTGTTCTGCGAATACTCCATTCCAACAAATTTTATCCCTTCCATATCTCACTTCATCAAGAGTTACATGGCAATGATTTTCAAAATCGTGTACAATTCTGTGAATGGGCACTACAAAGATTACAAGAAGAAGATATGTTTGTCACTAAAATCTTATTTACTGACGAGCTACATTTACAAACAATCGACAAATAAATCTTCGCAACATGCACTATTGGTCAGTAGAAAACCCACATTGGATGAGAGAAGTGGACAGGCAGATACCTTTGTTTATAAACGTCTGGGCCAGAATTCTTAATGATAAAATAATTGGTCCTCATTTTGGAACATTAAACAGTCGCAAGTATGCACAGATTTTAATAGAAATATTGCTACTATTATTAGAAGATCTTCCACTGAACGTATGACAATCAATGTGGTACCAGCAAGATGGCTATCCTGCTCATTCTGCACGAATTATTACTAAATTGCTAAACAAAAAATTTCGAGATCTTTGGATTGGTCGGTCAGGGAATAACAGATAGGCCGCACGTTTTCCGGATTTAACCTATGGATTTATTTGTGAGGAAAGTTAAAACAACAAATGTATAGCGAAATGCCAATAACAAGAGAAGACATGAAGGAAACGTATAAGAAGAGCTTGCGTTGCGATTGATCCGAATGAAATGAAATTCGTCGTGCAGTGTTATCTGTGTCGACACGTTTCAGAAAATGCGTCGACGTTCTGGGTCATCATTTTGAACACTTGTTGTAACGGTAAGTACATAAATAAGTAAATTAATAAAATATTCGAAAAATATCTTCGAACAATTTATTTTCAATTACAGCTAACTTTATTACTTTTAAATAAACCTTCAATGTTTATTTA